TATTCAAATGCATTGCCAAACGGTACCTGCGCGATGTGTTTAATGGCAGCCATGTGATTCACTGTTTACGTAAACAAGCAGGTGTACCTAATAAACTGACCACATATATACTATACATACTGTATATACCATAATACATAAAAAATTCAAACCTTCAGTAATTTAACGCGTATTCATTCACATTATGTTATTGTTGTCATTCATTGCGGTTTGATAAACATTGAAAACATTCATACCCATTATTCATTCATAAGATTGTATGTTACGCATTATTTTACCAAATAATGATAAAATCATAAATATTGAGAATAAGGCAGTTAGGTTCTATAGAATTACTCTACATTTTTGTTATACATCATGATAAATGTAAAGAATTTTAGTTTTGTACATGTCAGCATCACTGCAGTTATTCTGCCAATCCAAAGGAAAGCAATATCTAGGATACACTGTTAAAACTCAAGGTCAAACGACTTGGCTGTCATTTAATTGTCGGAACTAATATACTTGACCAAAACTCAGAATACAGCACAAAATACTGGGAGCTGATTGAAAATATAGCACCATTTCTGTCTTCGTTTTGACGTGCTTCATGTTTTCCTCGGCATCAGATGGGTCGTAACTGTCAGAATTATATACAAAGGCATTATTTTTTACATTAAAAGTTGATGACAACTGAATAAAAGAGGCCCCTCCATCTGTTTCACCGTCATTTCTGCTTACGCCGAGTCTCTGAAATGTGCCCTGAAGTGTCTTTATGTTAGACACTCAAAATATTGATAGGGGATAGCAAGGAGTTTTCCGTTTTACGTTTTATTTTAGCTAAATTAATTCAAGCAGTTACATCAAGCACCATCCACATTATTCCGCTTAGCCGATACTGTCGTCCAGAGTGGTGTGCTAAGTAATTGAGCCAAAATGGCAACACAGCCAGTATCAGGAGATGACTGTGAATCCACAACGCGTCTCTTAGTAAGTGTTGGCAGCGAAAACATTGCAGAAATATTGCAGCCCAAAAGCATTTGCAGACTACAAAATTAATTAATTAAACTGTTTTCTAATATATTTTTAGAAAACAATAAAGGCTGTGTTAGAGTAAATTAATTACTCTAACACATATAATTACTTACATGTGTTTGGTAAGAATATCTGCCACCTTGGTGAAATAAACACCCCTATCAAGGCTATCAAATTTTTATGTGTGTATATAGAAACCCGATGATGACAAGGCACCGATGAAAACAAGAGCTACTACAAGGCACATGCAGTGCTGGTCCACACCAGTTGGTACAAAATATCAAACGAGTATTTAAAAAAAAATAAACGTGAGCAGATAGGTGTACAGGTATCACTTTGGACCTGGGAGCTGGGATACAATTATGTGCTTTTTTCTCATTTTTTTACTCGACAACTAAATAATTCTTATTATTACAATAAGACATGAAAGAGTAATAACTTTGAACTTTTGAGAATAAGACAATAACAGTATCAGTTATATGTTCCAATCAATGGGATAGCAATTAACAATCCATTATGCTAAAGAAAGTGAGTTACGCAGTGCAGCAGTGACCATAAACAGGAAAAAAGAGGATAAAATTTGAAAATGCATAGCTATACACAAACACAAAAATATCAATGAGTTGTCGCATCTTTCTTTGGGTATGTGGGGGGGGGGGACAAAGTACATCTAAGCCAATATAAGATATTGATCAACTGGTACTCAGAGTCTTTGGTTGAAGATATATGTTATACCAGAAGCTGCTAAATGAAAAGGTTCAATTGTTCTCCAGCAAAGTGGGTGGATGCTGAATCATTTCTCTTGTACGCTTAATGACATTCTCAGGACTGATGAAGATAAGCTCACCTTTTACAATAACGCAGAAGTCTGCATTATTCAAAACGGTTCGCCACCGTGTTACGTGGGCTTCACTGCAGCATGTTTAGCGCACGTCGTATCGCCGGCACACCCATTCCCTTACCAGCTGTCAGTTCACTTTTGCAGCCCAAGCAATCAAGCTTTTGATTCAGGTGCAAGTGCAGAACAATTACCACAGTCATCGACCGTGGCAGCTACTTTCCGGTAAAGCCGGCAAGAAGAGTGTGGAAAAAAACAAACAAATCTCCATCAACAATCCTTGATTGCATTTACCGAAATTGTTATACTTAATTGAAAATCATGAAGTATTCATAATAAAATATCGATCCATCTGCCGGCACTAAAACACTTTTAATGCTCTATGCTTTACTCAGCTATCCTATTAGAAGCAAGAATGGGTGTCTTGTTTACAAGCAGCAGCGAGGAAATGAATTTCACTATTGACTGACACTATCAACAGGGCAGATAGACATTATAGCAAGGTAAGCTGCTTCATTCGTGTCAATGTCTGCCAGAGTTGAAGAGAGAAACGGATATGGGTTAGATAGCAGCCCAAGCATCACGAGGAAATGGATTTCGAAATCCTGATACCTTTTAAATGACTTCAGATCAATATGTTCCAGAATACAATATGTAAAACAGCCTAATGCATAAAAAAGATTTTTTTGTCTATTTTGCAAGATTTCTATTTTAATCAAATATCAGATAAAATGTTGTACTTTATATACAAGCATAAATATAAATCCGTCTTCCAGCTGCTTATCTTGGTCATGGTTTCCAGGGTAAACACATATACTATAAATACAAATGGAAAAAAAAAATCTATAATTATTAGTCTGGATAATAAAGGCCTTGCTAATTTATGTAAATATATATTAATTTGTGTATCATTAGTGCTCATTAAATGCTTTGCGTTACGACTCTGGCCCTGGGGAAGAAGGGCTGTGTAAAGATGGAGGACTGAGACGGAGGTTGGATGCTTATCACCTGACAGGAGCCCTTGCTGTCTTCGTATCAGAGCAGTGAAAACACTGACAACCTTATCGCTCCATTACTCTCCAGTGAGGTCTGGGCGTTTGACTTCCAGAAAGAAAAGAATCTGAACGCCCCCCCCCCCATATCACCAGCTTGATGCCTGTTGTGGTGGGCGCCTCTGACTGATGGACCATAAACATCAAGCTCCGGTTTGGAAAGAGAACCTGAAGAGGTGGGGGAAGGCAGTCGGGGGGGGTCTGTGGCAGTTGGCTGCCAAGGTGATCTCCCCGTCTCGTTTGTCAGCTGCCGCATATCAGTGCGGAGGTGGACAAACCGAGCCATCCATTAAAAACGACATTCATCGTGCCCCAGGAACTCGAAAACTGACCGGCCCCTTTCAGTCTGGGCCAAATCGTTACACAGATGGAAAGCTAAAAGTTCCACGCTCGATGTCAAAGCCGATGGCTCGGCCGGCCCCTATTGGCTGTGACGTTTTCACTCTCGGAGCTTATCTGCGGCTTGAGAGATGGTTGCCTGATAACAAACGGAGGCAGTGAAACAGTGACGGGACAGCAAGTCTAATTCCTCTATTCTGCGAGCCAATGCAAGCGCCTTCATTTGCAGCCAGAGCCCTTGACCGGGCATTTCTGAGGTGCAGATAGAAGTGAAAGCGATGCCACTTCACTCCCATCTAAATTTTAATAAAAATGGATTCAAGCTATAGATTTCAAAGCTGTTCTTGGTAAAAGAACAAAATTAGTAGGACTATGAAACACCCAAACATGATCCATTTATGAGGTAAAAGCTCTCTCCTTTCCAGGATTTGAGAAGACAAAAGGGTTAATGCAATTTCAACAAATAATAAAGATTGTTTGACTTGTGATACAATGAGGACCAGCAGAGACCCTGGAGACGCCCTCTTTTTTGTTCCAGTGGCAATATGGACTTAATACCATTTCAACTATAGAGTATAAGATCAATAAAACGTCACAGCTAAAGAATTGAAAGGGTTGCCAACACTCCACTGCAAGTTAATATAGCTGACACCGTCTGAAATGTCCTTTTACTATTGTAACCAGATATCATGTGATCTTTGTCTCGGTCTTTTAGTTCTGAAAGACTAGCCTTATGATGTCCACAAAGTCACATCTCCAATCCCTATACGTTTCAAGCTCTTTTCAGGTAATTGATGATGAAACCCTTGATTCATTGCCTCGCTGGTAATGAATAGAGTGTTCTACATTTTTGAGGGGAAAGAAAGCACACCCGATTACTGTCAAGCTCCTTTGTTAATAATAAATTGGAGAAACCTTAGTAACCGACAAAAGCCCGCAGCCGAACCTGTTTGATTTAATGAGGGTATTACATCCATCTCACCAGCGAGAGCTGATTTTGACGAGAGGTGTTTCTGAGACTCAGACTCTTCACCATTCAACAGCAATTAAGTGTGGTGTTGACATCTTTATAATGTCCACAGTAATATTTTCACCAGCGGGACCCAGGGGGAAAGAACAAGAAACGACCAGCATCGCATGGAGCCAACACTAGCAACACTTTCAGAAAGCACCTTCCGGAAATGTTTTATCGTCAGCTATGCCAATATCAGTGTCACCTATTTGTTTTAAAGTTTATAGTAAGACAAGACTGTTAAGTCTGGTGGAATATTCTCCAAGAATTTGAAACAGTGCTGCATAGAATTTGCCAGTAACATGCAAACATCTTTCTCCAAAGCTCTTGCTGCCAAAGGAGCAAAGGATTACCTGTAATGGATGCTTTGGGCACCTCCCACAAGACCATTAAATATAATTTTTCCAAGTGTGTTGTCTTGGAGTTCTAGGCTAGCCAGAGACAGGATTAAGTATCATTACTGCGTAAAATTTAACATACGTTGGAATTACTTGCATCGTCTGATTAGATCATTATTATGCAAAGTGCTCGTCTGTCTTTAGCATGCGTTTCAACGGCCTCTTCAACTTGAACAACTGGTCTTAAAGAGAAAAAAGAAAATGGCTCAGGCCAAACTCAGACTTGATTAGGCTGACATGGGTACTCACGTCTGGTCTCATTAAAAAGCAACAAACTAAAAAAAAGAAAATCACACCAGTACTCAGACGTTAAAAAAAACACCACAAATGCACCTATGTGCTCAAGGTAGTGATGAAATAATGTATTATGTGACCATTGTGTGAAAACCGTTGGAGCTGCTATGATGATGAAAACTGTTTTTCGATACTAACAGACTGAAATGTTGGTCACAGTAGCTATGCTAAAGGGAACAGACAGGTGACATGGTTTGAAGGTAACGTGTGGGAACTGAAGTAATATTCGGTATAATACTCAATATTTGCATGAATAGACCGGAAAAATCCAGCATTGTCTATTACTGACTGATATGTTTCAGCACTAATATTTTACTTCTTTTATACTGAAACTTCATACCAGGTACCAGAAACTCAAGTTCAGATCCTGCAAGTGTTGCATGTGAAGCATCCGTCTATTGAATTAACAATTCCATTCTGTCATCCATCCATCTTCATGGTTGCCCTGAACATGGCACGCCTATGCCACACACATAGCTTACAGACTGCACTGCATCCTCTGCTCCTGTTTCTGAGGCCAGCAAATGCTTATCTGGAGACACAAGGGGCTGAAGGTCACATAGAAGTACATTATTATCACCCTTATTATTACCTAATCATCATTATAATATTATTATCTGTCCATCTCCCATAGCTACTTACCCAGTGCAGGGTGATGGTGAGTCTGCAGCTGTCACAGGAACCACAAAGGCCGAGGCAAGGGGACACCATGGATATGATACAAGTCTGTGACAAGGCAATAACCCAACACTCAAATCTGATGGTGTGAAAACAACAGCACTCACCACTGAGCTATGGTGCCACTTGGCCAGATAAAAAAAGATCCATTCTGCCAACTTTGAGAAGACCTTCATATAATGTTAGCTAAAGTTCTGGCAGCGTTCCCTGTTGGCTGGGTCTTCAGGTATGTCACGCCTCGGTGGGCGGGGCCACGTGACTGAGCCTCGTTACGATTGTCTGTTTAACCAGCACTCTGACTAACCATGGTTGCGAAGTATTGTTCCTCTCATGCGCCCTACTAAGCAATCTTCCTCTCTTGTCTTCTGTGCCACGTCGTCTGCCCTGCCTGCCCGCCTCGTCTTCCTGATCCCTGCCCTGCTTCATCTGTGCTCCCTGGTGTGCCCGTCTTCCCGTCCTGTGCCTCCTCGTAGGATTGATCTCCCCGGCTCACGACCCTCTGCCTGCCTTCTTGACCGTCGCTCGTTTCATGCCCCTTTGGACTTGTCTATTGTTCGGTGTCCCAATAAACCTCTGGGTCTCCTGCATCTGGGTTCAGCCTGCTCTGTTCTTCCCGGACGTGACAAGGTAACTATTTTTATCATTAATTAATAAACATAACTATACAACTGAAAGTAGTTCATAAACGAAGTGAAGTTGTATGTACAAATTTTAATTAATACAACCATTGAAATATATAAATACAGTGCATCCACTGATTTAGAACTTTCATTCAAAAGCAGCCAAACACTGAAATGAAACAGTACCAGTTCATACAACAGCTCCTTCCCAAAATATCCAGATATGACTCGGAATAATTGCAAGCCTCTTTTAGTGGCCTTTATTACTTCAGTGAGTCTTTTTAATTGTGATGCCAGTTGTAGCTAATAGTTTAGCAACAATGTAGCACAATTACCTACATGTACATTTTTTCATCAACATATGTAAGAACATCTACACTGTGAGAGCTCATACACTGAGTAGAACCAGATGAAGGAAGGACTTTACAGTGAGGAGAAGGTTAGTTTGGTTGCCCTATTTAGGGTTATATGGAAGTCTGGCTCAGGTTGGACTAATGTGACGCAAACATAACAACAGCACAACATGGACCTGGGCTCATAGGTCATGGAACAGCAGATAGACAAATGGGGGCTGGGGGTGGAGGGGGTGGTTTTGGTGGGGATTTGCAGACGACACAAATATCAACGCTTTTTATCAAAAAGGTGGCACTAACCTAGTGGTCGCCAACTGGTCAATCACCCCCATCCTATCCCCCTGGGATCAGCAAAACATTCCTTCATGACTGATTAGCTAGCCAGATAATTTTCTTTGCAAAAGTACTGTAGCTCTCACCGTAAAAATAGGTTGCCAACTGTGGCACTGATCAGTACGAAAAACCATGGTCATGTGACCCTCTAGTGAAATGACAAGGGCTACACTCCCACTCTCATAATGAGAAACCAAAGACTGTATCTTTAAAACAGGTCATTCAGTAGCATATTTAATTACAAGAACTATTACATTACACTATAGTTTCCAGGCACTCGTGATTTAATTTTGGTGTAATGACTCCATTAATATATCAGTGTAGAAATGGAAGTGGAGCAAATAAATAAACAAATAAATAGATAGATAAATAAATAAAAAATAGAAATCAATAATAGTCTTGTAAGTGCTTTAAAAGAAGGCTTTACTGTTATCAGTTCCAGTAAGTTTGCTTTCCATTAAACTTCAAATGCATTGTCATTCTAGGATATTGTAAAATGATATGGCCAATTTCAAATTGACACCATACATATTCTATTTAGAGAAAATTGCCTGTTGTCTTTAAAGCAAATGTCGGGAAATCCTGCTGTGGTCCTTAATCCCCGTGTAAGTCACTTCGGGAGCTCTGCATATTTATAATTATAATAATCATAATTCATCCATCCATCTTTCTTATCCTGTGACCATGTATTGGATAAGCCGTTGGAAGATGCATGGATGGATGGATTGATATTATAATTATTATAATCTTTATCTATCATCAGATTGATTCCTCTGGTCCTGAGCTTTCAAATTGCATGTGAGTATTTTCAGCCATCATGCAGTATCCCCAAGCCTGAACAAGACTGGAATTTCCCAACCCACATACCTGTTTCCATACATAGTGAGGATACCAAGTTATCCAGCAAATCCATCCATGCATCCATCCATCCATCATCTGCCGCTTGTCCGGGGTTCGGGTCGCGGGGGCAGCAGCTTCAGGAGAGGCACCCAGACCTCCCTCTCCCCAGCTACCTCTACCAGCAAAACAGAGGTAATTTTTTTTATTTCTATCAAAATGCACAATACTTTTATAAAGTTCCATTTTCAGTACATAAACCACATATAAAGCTTTATTGCCATTCGCAGTAGCGGTGTAGTAGTCCAGACCGGTCTTGAGACCACTTTTTTGCGGTCTTGGTCTCGTCTCGGAATCGACTTTATTTTGACTCAGTCTCGTCTTTGTCTTGGACATAGGGAACATTAAGGTTTTATTTCAAGACCCGTTAAGACCACTCCTCAAAAAGGCATAATCCATTATAGTCAAGTGTATTATGTACTGTATCATGAATGCTATATATGAAGGTCTCATAATGCAGCACAAAGCATCTTAATTGTTATACTGAGCATTTTAATGCATGATGGAGGTATTCATAGTGCATGATATGCATTCATAATACACTATAAACATGGCAAATATTATGCCTTTTTAAAATATTTATAACCGTGTCTATAATACTTCATGAATGTTACAATGAATTATAAGAACAACTTGATGAATATGAGCTTCATAGACAGTGTTACCAAAATATTTATTTTATAATTTATTATATAAGCCTATAAATAAAGTGATATAAAAACACTCAAAAATGGGCTGGAGTTCTAACACAAATAACAACAAAACACAACATTCTATACATTGACAAATACTTGATATTTTCACAATATATTCTCAAATTTCGCAAATTATTCACAAAAGTTTGTATATGTAAGTCTGATGTCGAGCTCTGTCAAAACAGTTGAAGTAGAACACACCCGTCATGTAAACACAACGACGCACTACAGCATTGGCTTGTTGTTTGAGGCTAAATTGCCGACTCAAAGTTTCATTCTCAAATTTAACTTTACCAATCGTATATAGGCAGAAAAACGACAGCAATAAACATTCAGCATACAGCACTCTAAAACCGTCTGTTATGTCTGTGTTTATGCAGTGGATCATAAACTGAACAATGCTTTTCTATTTCAGTTTCTTTCTGATGTCATAAAGTAATACATTTTATATATTTATATTTTTCCTCATAACTTGTAGGATATCAACACTGTCAGCATTTACACATCCAATTATGACGTATCTCAGTAGAATGTCTTCAGAATGTCCTGAAAATAAAACTCTCAAAACTGGATAGCATACAAAGGGCACAGAACTGTGATTGGGTGTAAAACATCCTATTTCAAAGTTCAAATGCAACCAGTAAGGTGCATCTTACTTGAAAAAATGTAAAACTGCTTGTATTGAAATTTTAAGGAAAAAAAATCCCAGGTTCAAATTATACTGTAACATGCATTTTAGGCCATATTGCGTAGCCCCAAGATGGTGCCTATGCTCCACATTTTATAATGTGTTATGTAGTCTATTTCTGATCTTGACTTGATCTAGTTCTGCCTTGGTCTTGGTCTTGTCTTAGTCTCGATGCATTCTGGTCTTGGTAATGACTTGGTCTTGGTTTAGGTGGTCTTGACTACATCACTAATTTGCAGAACTTGTTTTGTACCATTGTTCCTCAGAGGTGGGACGGAACAAGCACCAAAAGCTGTCAGTCAATAAAAATTTCACAACGATGCAAGAAAAAGCATATTTCACAACTGTCCCAGAATCCAAAAACCCAAAATATAGCACTTTGAGGTTATCACTATTGTTAGGCAATATTATATATTATATAGACTTTAAGCTGCTATTAAATCTTGCCTTAAAAAAATTAGCACACAATGGACACACATTTCCAAAGGAAATTACATTAATAATGTTGTTTGATTCACAATTATAGAGATATTGTTTAAAGTAACTATACATAAACAAAGCAATTAAGCCACAGTATCTTTGTATTTCTGCAACCAACCGCAAATGGTTTATTATACCAACGTCTTTCCATAATCTCAACAAAGAAAGAGATCAGTCTGTTTTACATGACTGCTTGCTCTCGCTAATTAAATGGAGTGAAAACGGGCTGGTGCTGCAGTTTTATGGATTTCAATTTTGTCAGCAAGATTCCATATGCAGCCATCTGAATTTCAAATGATAAATGTAAATAAAAATCCCACTCTTAAAGAAACCAATTACATTAAAGCCTGCATTATGGAAATAAAGACAAAAACCTACAAGCCATGATTTAATTTACTGCTTTTTACTTTAACATAGAAATATTAAGGAAAGACTGTATTTGATTTGCTAACATTTAAGTGCTTAGTCTTCAGTTAAATTCAGATTAAATCACATTTAAGGGACATATTTGTACAGCGTCAGTCCATAGAATGATTTACAATAACTTCTTCTATTTGAATAAAATATTCAAGAGCAATTCAAGCTCTTTGCAAAGAGTAATATATTTTTAATAAAATGGAGCGTGTTGCAAGAAATATTTTTCCAAAATATTTTTGACCCTGTATAACATACATACATACACACATAACATAACATAACATAACATAACATAACATAACATAACATCCATCTATCCATCCATCCATCCATCCGTTTACCCTGGCCAAGGTCATAGGGGGTCTGGAGCCTATCCCAGGCAACATAGGACACGTGGCTGGGGTACAGTATATCCTGGATTGGACACCAGTTATATAAACTTTTATCCAATATAATTTGTCAAGGCAATCAGTCCCCTACCATCTTGCATTTTATGTGCCAATAATAATCATAATTGTCATACATATTACATCATCAAACTGAGTTTGCTAAACTACAGTAAGTGGCAGATCAATTGAAAAATTTATCAGCTTGTACATAACAATAATATTTCATACGTAACTGCAATGTATTGCCTGAATGCCCAGCTGGTTGATATTCTTGTCACAAATAAACATGCATGCATTTAAATGAATATATTTTACTTGCATTTTTGTCAGTTAACAAGTAAAAGCAAAGCAATCAAATGACATTATTTAGCTGTATGTTTATCAAAGTCAGTCTGGTTAAGTAACCCTGATTGTGGGCCCAACAATGCTTCCGATTTAAAAAGCTATTTCATCGTGTTATTTGTTAGTTGAAATTGTCACCAAAAGGCTCCCAACTCCAGCAGGAGATCTGACTTTATACCTATTTATAAGTGAGGAACTTAAAATGAATTGATTCAGTAAAATGGGCAGTTGTGTAATAAGTGTAAATCCCTAAGCTGCATGCATTAGTTCTCATCTGCTACATCTCATGGAGGTTTTACCTTTCTGCCTCTGACCATGCCGAAGCTGGCTGAAGTGCACACTGGCTTTTGCTACAGTGTTCCTGAAACTGTATCTCTGGATTACGATTTCAAATGGACGCAGGCTGGTTATAAATAGGCTCGTGTGGTTCCTTGGCTGAACACTATTTGTTCCCAAAGTATCCCTATTTGTCTTCTTGATTGGGATCCTCGTAGCAGTTGAAGCTCCTCTACAGAATTAAGTCATATCTCTGTGCTGATGCTGTTTTATAGGTGAAAACTTCTGCTGGTGAAAACAGCTGACAATATTACCCTTAAGTAGCAATTTGTTAACTAATAATGTGCTATTTAAGATAATAATAATAAATGTGGATCATTGACAAATTATATTGTCCCTTTTGTCCAGTTTAATGTTGTAACATAGTATATGCTGCACTGTCTTTCATGTGTCACTATTGCCATTTTATTCAAAAGTAGCAGTTCTGCTACATAACAAGCAATAAACGAAACTTTTTTTTTCCGTTTGTTTGTTTCTTTGTTTTTTTTTTGGGGGGTGCTATTAATTATTCTATATCCCACTACAATTTCAACTTAAATTTGCACTAACAACTATAACATTATTGTTCTAATTATCAATTCACATATCCTACTTCATAATATAAATATTACAACTTTTTGTTTAAAATATCTCTATAAATTTTCCCTTTTCTCGTTATGGCCGTAATAGCAGATTTAGATGTGTAGCAGGGCAGAAATGTGAGAAACAGAATTACAAAGGAAATCACAAACTCACCAGGCTGCTTTCACTGGCTACTGAGCTGACCCTGTGGATAACTTTCTAAATAATACGAACTGAAGCACAGGGCTGGTGAGAAACTGCTATGGAAACAGCACATCATTATATTCCAACTGCCACTTGCTGCTCTATATTCTTACTTTTGGATTTTAAAAAAACTGTATGCCCCCATGTAATAATCAAAAGAGCTGTTTATGTCACGTCCTGTTCAGAATCAGTTTCACGAGTCACATGACACAGGTGACAGCAGCTCATTTGGCAGGAACACACCCACCCTCAGGTGCTTCCAATCTTCAGTCACTCACACCTGCAGCCAGTCGTCCTACTTAAAGCCTCTCTAATGCTCCTTGCTTGGTCCTGGTGTCTGAGTCAGCTGTATACCTTGCAATCGGCACCTCCAGTCCTGTCAGGGCCCAGTACTCTGAGGCTTGGCTGCTGATTGGCTGCTGAGGAGGAAAAGAACGACAAGCAGAGGCTCCGCCCCCGTGAGTCTGCGCAGTTTGGGATGCCAGCTTTTGCCTGTGTCAGTATACCGTGCTCTGTACCTTGTTAATAAATTAATGATTATATTTTCTTTTACCATGTTACAATGACAATTTCTGTTTTACAAATGGTTAATAGTGTGTAAAATAATCCCTAAAATAACGAGTTCTCCTAATGTATCTAACTATGGTAATCACATTCTTGGTTCTGCACATAGAAATGATCAATAAATCTCCCAGTATTTCCATTATTTTACATATTATTTACATATGTAGTATGATTATAGATGTATAATGTTATTTATATTTAGTTCTGTATTTTGATGCAGGGAATTCAAGTGGAAGTGTGAAATGTATTGATTCATGTGTCCCGTTTACCATTAACATTCATGACTTATTTTGAAACTACTTCATTTTTCTAGGTAACCACTGTGCTTTGCAAGAATGTCTTTCTAGGACTGAGTTAATGCAAGAATGTGTTTTCTAGGACTGAGTTAATATCAAAATGTGAATCACTGTTGTACAATTATCAAAAAAAACATCT